GCAGACTGTTATTCAAATAGATTTTCGCCTGAGTTATTCAAGGACGGCCCTGTGTATGAATATAGCCTCGACACCCTTTGCAAGGGACCTTAAAGCATTCAAGACAGCCATCTGATAAGGCAATTAGTGTAATATATTGTCTTGATTTGATTCATATTAGCCTCACTTGATTTACTGTGCACGGTCTGCAGAAGAGCTAAGATCCAGACAGCATGTCCCATGCCAGAGTTGATTTAAATGTTTATCTATGGATGCTGGGAGTATATCCCAGAGTACTGGGGTTGTTGGCGCTGGGGCGGCACCATAAACGACCATCTAAAGTGGCAGTTGATAATCTAAATTCAAAGTGACGGCAAACCAAAGAAGCGTCTTGTCAGATAAAGCATCTGTTTTTGCTCTTTTAACTCAGAGCCTGTGATGACGTTTGGTGTTGGAGTATGTGAGTTTGGGCTTTAGTTTTCTTTTTTTGCGTTCATAATCATTTATATATTTGGATTAATAAATTGTATTTAGATTTTAGTCAACCACAGAATGATAATAATGACAGCAAACTTCATTCCTTATCCAACAGGGTTGACTCAGATGTACATTGCACTGTCATAGTGTGAGAGAGAGAGAGAGAGAGAGAGAGAGAGAGAGATGATAACACCCCTGATAAAATATTGTTACCAGTACAAAAACATAGAGTGCTATAGATTATAACTTAAGATATGAATAGACTCACTGGATCCCTTCTATATAATATAATATAATATAATATAATATAATTAATATAATATAATTCATAATATATAATTAATGTAATATAAAATATTAAAAAATAATATAATGTGATGATTTAAATTGTTAAAATAATATTGAATTTTATAATAACTTAAAAACCTGTATTAGTCAAATAGTCAATAAATAAACAAATTATTTTTCTGAGGTTATATAAATAAAGATTTTTTTTACAAGAAAATACTATTTCTGTCTTTCTACTTCAAAATCTCACAATCAATTCAATGTGCTACTTGCCATTTTTTGTAATTATTTGTACAAATTTACTAGCAATTTCGGTAACACTTGACTCAAAGTAAAATGTATGGGTAATGCATTATAAAGGGTTATTAAAGGTTAAAATGCATTATAATTATTCATAATGTGCGTTGTAATATATCTTATAAATAATTATAACCACATGCATAGTGTAACAATGAACTGATAAGTGTTATAATGTATTACCTTGTAGTTACAATTAGTCATAAGATTGTACAATGCATTATAAGGTACATTACAAGGCATAATTAATGCATTAACACTACTTTCATAATGCATTATACATAAAGGCTTTAAGTAAGGTATTACTGCAATTTCTAAGTGAAAATTGTTAAGTAAATCCTACACCAGACTATTTTCAGTGTAGTATTATAGAGATCACAGCCAGGCCTGTATGGAAATATATGAACTTGCTGTCTTTTTAATAAACAGTCATCTGATGTAAATTTGTGTTTATGACATCAGCTGGTGTGCATTCTGTTTTTTCATTGACAATCAGAGCAATGTCACTTATTTCCTTCATTGAATGGCCCAGACCGAACGTTCAGTTTCTTAACAACGCTGGGCTGTATCATTTCCCAACTAATGGAGCAGCAAATGGGATAACAAGGCCCTCTAGATTTGTAGGCTGTCTCTGAAATTAGCACATTTACGAGCTCTGTCTAAATTAAACAAATCATTGATTTTATGTAGGGGAGTTATAGCACCATATTCTGGAGCGGAGTCTCTGAGAAACTTGAGAGCAATCGGGTTTCCCTGCTTGCATTGTCTCACTTTCCCTTCATTCCTGATGCTGTTTCCTGAGAAACAATCTCCCCCAGGTACTCGGTGCCACACCACCAAGAGGAAACAAAGCCTCCGCTCCTCAAACGAGCGAAAGCTGCGTGTCCCCCTGTTGGAGTGTGACACACGCCGGGCCCTGCCTTTAGTTAAATATGAAAGCGCCGAGCGTGCGTGTGTGTGTGTGTGTATTTGGAGAGAGTGACTGCCAGGACTCACAGAATCAGCTGCAGAACCATTTTTAGAGCTCTCGTTTCCCCTTCTCTCCCCGTCGCCTTTGATCATGTAGCACTGTCTACAGTATGAATGCTTACGCGCTCGCTCTCCCCCTCTGTCTTTCACTCTCTCTGTTCTTTTGTGTGTGTTTGTGCATGTGTGTATAGAGTCGTCGCAATAGATCCATTGAGAGTGATGGGTGTCCTCGGGTTCAGATTTAGATAAGAAGAGAGGCCTTGTGTAATTTTGGTTAAAAAAAAAAAGCCAAGCGGCCCGCATCAGTTTTCTTGGTGGGGTAAATCTTCTTCTTGACACCTAGAGTACAGGAAATGGTTGAGAAAAAGAGTGAAAGAGAAATGTAATGACTGTTTTTTTTTGTTTTTTGCAGGAATCTCAGTGTGACATATTCATCTGCCATTTCTATCTTTGCTTCTAATTTATACTCGTTTCTACTTAGAAGTGTTTTAAAGGGCTAGTTCACCCAAAAAATGAAAATAAAAAAGAAGATATTTTGAGGAATATCTTAATGTTTTGGTTCATACAATGAAAGATTTAAAAAAAACTATTAGAAGATATTAAAATGTCTTCTTTTATCTTTGACAGAAGAAAGCCATACAGGTTTGGAACGACATAAAGGTGAGTAAATTATTACAGAATTTTATTTTTTGGTGAACTATCCCCTTCAATTTCATATCAGACTGGATAAAACATCTAATTACTGAATCCTATTTATACTTGTATCTACTGAATGGTGTTTAAAGGGATAGTTCACCCGAAAGTGAAAAAATATATTTTGAAAATGTTTTTGTTCATATAATGAAAGTAAAAAACACTGGACCCCAGTGTTCTTTAAAATATCTTATTTTGTATTTCACAGAAATCAGTCAGTCATATAGGTTTGGAACGACATGAGGGTGAGTAAACGATGACAGAATTTTCATTTTTGAGTGAACTATCCCTTTAATTTTCATATCAGACTGGGTGTAATGTTTGTTTTTGTCAGGTGAAAAGAAAAGTTCATTCATATTGTAACTGTCAGTCATTTCTACAGCAGCCCCATTTCGCTTGTCCATTACATTCCTTTTTTAAAATTATTTTAAAAAAGTAATCTACTCGCGGAGACAGGCTCAGTGACAACGGCGTAATCTTAGGTTACAGTCCAGGAATACAGCATTTAATTTACCAGCTCTTAGCATGAGCACTTCCAAGTGCTAAGTGACAGAAATGAATAGCCATCTGAAGCACATGGCTGACATATGCTAATGAGGAATCTGTGCCGAGGCTCCATTGTGCGGGACATCTCGCTATAGGTCCTCTGGTACCCGTTTCACTGCGACCACAGTTGTAAAGGTAATAATTAAGACCTGACTGGTGTGTTGAAGAGATGTCTCTGTTATTACTGCGGCCACCCTGCCTCAACACGGGTTCCTCAATTATCACTGTGCTCTGCATTAAAGGGACATCTGAGAAGTCAAAATCACTCAACATTAAATTAACGTGTGATGTTTAACTTCCCTTTTGAATGGTGATGATTTTTACTCCTCTTCTGTGTTCACATGGACGTGGCAAGAATGACAAACGAGAACTGAAAGCAATAAACAGAGCACTTATCAGGCCAGATTAACAACATTAAGTATATTTGAAAACAAAAACACTTGATTAAGCTGTTAATATCTTTTATCTAAGTTCAAACATTTTCTGCATTGGTCACTGAAAGTAGGATGCCTCTATATCATAAATAGAAAGCGGATCATTTACACTCGGATGAAGCTCTCTGGCTACCTCAACTTTTATATCGACTGAAGTGTAGATTTATAAATGACCCAGCTTTGCTTGTAATGGATTCAATCAAGTCATAGTAATATGTTTTGTTATTTGATACAGTCCAGAGAGAATGTAAAATAATTTCAATCGAATCAAGGGGCTCTGGAAATGGAGGAGAGGATTTGTGCTTAAGCCTGGTAAAAAGAGCTGTCATCAAAGCACTTCACCAATCCACACCAGTCCATTTAGAGACATGTTAAGAGACTGAGGCCTGAAATTTGATTTTGAATGGAAAGGGACCTTGGACATGGATGGGCTTTTTCCTCCTCTGTTTCACTGATGCTTTAACGGAGGTCATTAGCAATACAAGAGAGTGCTAATGTAATGCAGTAATGCACATATGTATGGCTACTGCCCTCCCATCACCCCAACATTGCAGTCCCTCCTATTACTCTGGTCTGGGAACACACAACAAACTTGCTTTACTGACTTCTTATAAAAAATGAAATAAAATACCGCATTATTTACAAAGCGAGACATTTGTAAACTTGCGTTTTATATTAGCTCTCTCTACCCTAAGCTGAATCAAAGTGTAATTCCATCTCCGTCCAGCAGGTGGATTTCTGCGTGGTGTCGAATCATATGAGTCTGTTACTGTTTGAACATGTTTACTAATATACTGTCATTTAGTTTAAGTAAAGCTGTAGAAATAATATCACAGCAGCTTATATATGTTCGCTTTCATTTTGTTTAATTAAAAAAAACAAACGAGTAAAACGCATGTTTTCCGTTTTTTTGCAGACTGACAAATGTTCTCAAGAGGAATTCGTCGTACTTATTCAACTTCAGTAGCAGGCATGTGCAAAAATAAGCAACAAGTAGTCTAGAATTACTTTTTACAGCATGTAAAAACACTTATATGGACTAAAAATAGCTGAAGATAAACTCGCGAGCAACCCGGTGCGCGCGATGGGACGCTGCACACTTACCTATTTCTGTAAAGACCTGGCGCATTGTTGAAACATCTTTTGTTTTGCCGTGGACTTCATTTTCCAGGTCTTCTAAATGGTGAGGAGAGACGATAATTCATTCCGTGCTCACAAAACAGCCTCTGAGATCCCCCACGGGAGCGTGGAGAAGGGGGGTCAGGGTCCTCAGCGCTCGAGGAGGAGAGAATGAATGTCAGTCAATGAGCGAACCTGGCGCTGAGCGGCAGCACTGCACCTCCAACACTGTTTCCACCTCTGAGCAAATCTCTGCCTATCGTCTCTACTTTGCTACTGAACGCAGACTCGTTCTCATCGGTACATGCAACTGATACAACTCTCAACGCACGACACGACCCGGGAAACTGTCTGACGCGCGGCGACCGTCTCGCGTTCTTTCCTCGAGGTGCGACTCTACTTTGCTTCTCATGCTTCGCGGTGATCTTCGCTCGCCTGTTTCGAAAAGTTTCAGTTGTGGGGATAAAAGGACAGCTAAATCTTCCAAAGGGATTTTTTTAAACAACGTAAGTGCTCTGAATGTCTTGACAGCGATTGTTTTTATGATCCCGTGGGAACGCGTCTAATGTTGTTTCTGTGAAGAAATCTAGTTTTATCTGACTGTTTAATGAGTGACCTCGAGCCTGATTTAACGCACCCTAACGTGGCTGTGTCTTGCTCCGGGATAGCACAGCATTTGTTATTGTTGTTGTTTGCTTTTTGTTGTGTGGAAATTAAGTTAAGGTGATGATGCGCAACTTTATCATTTCATATCAATAGATCTCCTATCAGATACCATGTTTCGCTCGCGCGTAATGGCTTGATTGCGGCAATAATTTTAGTGACTCTTTATGGAGCACCTTCGCTTTTATTGTGGAAGTGTTACTGAACTCCTAAAACATTTCAGCAGCTAACTTTGCTTCGACTTTAACATCAGTTCCTGGTGTTAAAGTTTGCAGAAACTGACCTCTGGTTAACTGACTGGAATGCCATACTTCTGAGAATGTGAGAAACACTTATTACGCTTAAAAGATGTCTACATATTATTAACAAATAAATCATTAGGACCCTAAACAATCTTGTGTATCACGGCGTAACGTTTCAAAAATGCCGGTTCATATAAACTCTCATTTTCTAGTTGCTCTCTTGCACAAGCGCTTTCTAGTGTCGTGGGAAATTAGACAGGTCAATGAAATACTAGTGTTTTTGGTTGATGGAACTAAAGGGGAACTTGTTATAATGAGACCCGTAATGATGTGCGCGTGTCTGCGGCCACCCACGAGTATAACATGCTTGTGTGTGATGTTTAGTGGGTTAACCTTTAATAACTAAACGTTGTCAGTGCAGACCGGGCTTTTAAACCAACTGCTTGAGTAGTTTAGTTACGCTCCCAACTAATTTGTGACTGGTATAGTGGACGTGAGAACTGCTCCTGTGAGTGAAGATTTTACTGTTCCATTTATAGTCCTCTCCATTTAGAGTCTGTAATCAGAGCGGGAATTAATGCGCTCGAGACCAATGTTGCGGATAATTTATATTTTGTTCTCAAGCCACAATAGACTGTTGGCCTGCGTTGCACTCTTTATTTTTCTTCTCTGTAAGTGCACATGTGTTAATTGAAAAAGAAATGTTTAGTTTTAAACGAATCTGTCCACAATGGTTGTTAAATAAGAAAACTATAGGCCTACTCGGAGCAGTTAGTTGGATAGCATTTATAACGGGATCGAATCCGTTCAGTAAGGAAACAAGGTGCAAGGAAACACCTGTTTACTATGGGTCACTACAATTTACACAACACATACGGGAGTGTTTCCGCTGTGCTCATGAGTTGTTAATAGAATTTCCAAGGAAAATTCTGAGCAAAGCTCTCAGCCTAAGACTTGTTATCTACGACTTATTCTTTTAATGTATATTCTCCACAATGTTACAAAAACATTCTCGCGTTGCTTGCTTAGATTATTATTTTTGATTATTTGCAGTTTGCAATAATTTGAATAATTCTACTAACGCATTATTTGTAGCCTGTTTTTTAACAACAGCATTGTTTTTAATCTATTTTAACAACAAAAATAAATTTTAGAAAAGCAAACAAACACTTGTCTTCAATTCTACCACTTAAAAGGTGCATTTTTGCGTAATAGTTTGTTTACATTAATAGGTCTGTTCAATCTATTTAATATTTTCAGTGCTAGGACAGAGCTACGTCTAAACAGCTTGTAATTCTCCTTAGTCTTTTTCTTCTTCACAGTCACATCAATTATTTATATTTAGGGTGACAGAATACATTCGTTGTTAAGTAAATAGCCTCATTAATTTAACATATTTCATTTGTGAATTTTCATTTGTAAGAGGGAGTTTATTAGCTCATTATTTTATTCCAGTATTATTTAACGGCCTTGTGCAGTAAATATGAAACTATTTTGCACTTTACAACTGTGAATAGCCTATATTGCAATTGACTCGGTTTATTATTTATAAATTTATATTTTATATTTACAAAAACAACAAAAAACAATATCTGGTACTCCCAAATCTATATTAAATGATTTTATTCGTTGTTTATTTTTAAAAGGTTATAGCCTGCAGGACAGGAACGTGCTTTATTTACGCGCTTTCATTTAGACTGGCCGAATCATTTTTCACCATTACACGCTTAATTTGCTCGATATTTAATTGTAGATTTTTAGTCATAAATCTTTATTATTACACTAATATTTCATTTGGCCGTGTTTGATGATTACATAGATATTTAAATAATAGCATCATGTTTATGTTTTTGAATCTCGGAAATAGCATTACATAATGAAATTATGGTCCTCAAAGATTACAGTGTCTTTTAAGATAAGTGTGTTAATTGATATTTGTACTGAAACGAGCAGGGCCAAAATCACTTGAGAATGTTAAATTAAAGTATATGATAAATATAAGTAAGGGACAGTGAGATACGGAGCCTTGTGAAATCCACTATATTGACTTCAGTGTTCATTTGAATTATTTTAAAATTAATTTTCATTGTAATTATACACGGAGGATTATGCAAAACATCTGTTGAAACATTTAGATTTCTTAAATAGTCTCAAATTTATTTGTATGTTTTTTAATCCGTTTTTATCCAAAATTATGAATAAAAGCAAATTAACCGAATTAAATCACTGCACCCTGTTGCGCTCCTGCATCCAAAACTTCAACATCGCATTTCTATTCATTCTAGCTGATTTAAAGTTTTCATCCCATAAACGTGTGAGTTTATTTATTTATTTGCCCCGAATTATTTAACACAATAGCTCGGTTCGAGTCCCAATGAGACAGCAGGATGGAAGAAAAGTAGATGCAAAGATGGAAGAGGATGGAAGAAAAGTAGCAGATGATTTATTCGTCAGCGTTTCGATTTTCAGCCCTGCGTTTTCTGTTCTGTCCTTTTCAGCGCCGATGTCAGTTGCTATTGCTTCTCATTGATCCCCGTGCAAAGTGAGAAGTGAACTAAAATTAATGTCGATTCCAGTGGCCGGATCAATGGCCAGAGTTATTTTAATCTGGATTTGTAGCATTAAAAAAGAGCAAGCGCAATCAAACGTTTTCATTCTTGTTAACAATTAGAAGGAGAGGAGAGAGAGCATCCTTCCCCACAGACAGCGAGGATGGCGACAGCAAGAAGTTCTGCGGCTCTAACTTACAATAATATGTGACTGAGAAAGTCTTTCTGGTCTGGATTCATAAGAAAATTCCATCCGAAACCGCGCACTGAAAGTAAATGAAGCACGCATTTCTCAAATGCAGCGGCTTGATTGGCCTTTTGTCTATTCCATGTTATCGACAAGCGTGCTGTTTCCCAACGAATTAAACTAGAATTAACCCCGTTAACTCGTACCCACCCGCCCTCGTGCATGTTTATGTTTTCACGTGCTAATAAACACTTCACCGAAAGCTCATTTGTCATGCAGATGGTGGCATGGTATTGCTCTGTCCTTTTCAGCGCCGATGTCAGTTGTTATTGCTTCTCATTGATCCCCGTGCAAAGTGAGAAGTGAACTAAAATTAATGTCGATTCCAGTGGCCGGATCAATGGCCAGAGTTATTTTAATCTGGATTTGTAGCATTAAAAAAGAGCAAGCGCAATCAAACGTTTTCATTCTTGTTAACAATTAGGAGGAGAGGAGAGCATCCTTCCACACAGGCAGCGAGGACGGAGACAACAAGAAGTTCTGCGGCTCTAACTTACAATGATATTTGACTGAGAAGGTCTTTCTGGTCTGGATTCAAAAGAAAAATCCATCCGACACCGCGCGCTGAAAGTAAATGAAGCACGCATTTCTCAAATGCACCGGCTTGATTGGCCTTTTGTCTATTCCATGTTATCGACAAGCGTGCCGTTTCCCAACGAATTAAACTAGAATTAACCCCGTTAACTCGTACCCTCGTGCATGTTTATGTTTTCACGTGCTAATAAACACTTCACCGAAAGCTCATTTGTCATGCAGATGGTGGCATGGTATGGTAATTAAAATAATCTACAAATAATACCACAGTTTGAGCACAGGGAAAGGTCGTGGTCCTTAAAGGATTCTTTTGAATTTCTCGAGAAATATTTAAGATGCGCGTGCGTGACAAGCCTTTGGACGGTTGTATAAAGATGAAAATAATCAGGTGTAGTCCTTGGATTGCCTAACTTCACCATGTCCCCTTCCATTATGTTTCGAAACGTGCAGACACGCCTATTCATGTACCTTTTTATTTAGTGCCGAGGCGGAACATTTGAAATTTTATGGTGAGTGAGATACTTTGTTTGTTAGGTAAAGCGCCCCACCCGAAGCAAAGCCTTTGAATAAAATCTACTGCTGCTCGAAGGTTTTTGAATACTGATGATCGCTCTCGTCCTCTTTTACTAGTTTGTATGCTATAACTATATATAGTTTGTCTTTTTTGTTTTTGTTTTTATATTTAATTGCTTTTAATGCTTGTAGTTTTGCTGATTGCTGATGTTTTTTTATCATGTCTTTTTAACTTTAATTAATTTAATTATTAAATTAAATTGATAACTACCATATCAACGCTAATTTAATTAAATAAAATTTGCTGCTTCTCGAAGGTTTTTTTTTTTTTTTTTGAGCACTGGTTATCGCTTTCGTCCTCTTTTACTAGATTGTATGCTGTAACTATATATAGTTTCTTTCTTATTAAGAGTTAAGATATTGTGGTTTTTATTTATATTTAATTGCTTTTAATGCTTACAGTTTTGCTCATTGCTGATGTTTTTATCATGTCTTTTTTTTTTACTTATATGAATTATTAAATTGCTAAATTAAATTGATAACTACTATATTAACGATAATTTAATTAGAATAAATTGCCGCGCATTGACCTTATGATAAACTGTATTTATTTTGTCTCAGTCATTGCGGTGACACTCAACGGGGCGTTGGCTGAGCATGCACTCTTTCAAATAACACAGATTTTCAATTTTTACAATTTAAATAGTATATATATATAATAGTGCAACAAACAAGTCCTGTGTGAATAAATATAAAACTTATGGCAAACAAACAAAAATGCATGTTAAAGTCATAGAGATTTCTGTTTAGAGCTGAGCTGACTGAAGATTCATTGGCTATGCTAGTTTTTGTAGTTTGTTATTTTTTTGATTTACCTAGCTGTCCATTATTTAGATGTGAGTTTTAGAGCTGTAGAATAAGTTAATTTTACACCCTCTCTCACAAGGCATTACCCGTGCATTTGCCTGGGATCAATAAGAGTCCTATATCTCTCTGCTTGTCTGAATGTTGCTTGGTATCTTCCCACTGAACATTAGTCTAGGAGTGAGACACAGCTCTTCCCACCAGTTTAGAAATGCATATACATGCCTTTTACATTAGTTATTGTGTTTTATTCTTACAGCGAGAAAATGCATTAATTTTTTTATGCACAAGTTCATTGATTCTGTTTTCTAACTCTTGGAATAAGAGGCCAACCGTGCTAGTTAAATTAATCTTGTGTTTTATAAGACAGGCCAGCCAACATGTTCAGGCGGTTTAGTGGCAGACTGCTCTCGCATTGTGCTTCGTTATCTATTATTGATGAGCCCCTGGTTGGCAAACAGTGTGCTCAAACTAGGCAAAATCAAAACAGTGTAAAATCTCTCTTTCTCTTTCTCTCTCTGTCTTGTCTCGGTACACAGTGGCGGGCAGCAGTGGACAACTGTAAGGGCGGTGAGGTGGGTGGGTGGTTTGCTGTCGCCTCGGCTTCTTTGCAGTCCAGTCCAGGCTCTGAGCGCAGAGGATCCAGACACCTTGCAAATAATCTGGGCTTAGTGAGGAATTAGTTGGCTCAGGTGGGTGGGATGAGACAAACAGTCCATCAGCCCCTGAAATGAATAGGGCAGGCAGGACAGGAAACTTTGAAAATCATTTTGTTCACAATGAATCAATGTTCCCCGGTGCCCGCCGCAAAGCTTTATTTGAAAAGCAAATCCTCACTTATTCTGACAGCTCATGCCGAGTGGCACGTTTTCTACGCCTAGAGTAAATCGTGCAAATTTTGTCTGGGGGGAAAAAAAAAGTTGCGAAAGTTTAGAGGCAGGCCCTTGGTATACTTATGCAGGCGATAAGATCCAATAAAGCAGTGATTGATTACCACTATTTATTGCTGGGTTTTATTGTGTGTCATACACTGTGGGGAATTTATTTGTTGATAGTGAACTGGAGTGTTGAGACACAGCTTGTACTATCATTATTGATTTAGTTAGCTGTATGTCCAAGTGTCATTATCCTTCACTGCATTCTCAGTCTGTCATTAAATCTCACTTTCACGTCTTCGGGATGCGGGCGTTCATTTTTTTATGTCTCATACCGCAGCTGCTGCACATTATTGAATTGTTCCGAGGAAGATTTCATATCACAAGGGCTTTGATTCTAATTCAGCAGGATATATTATCTGCGTGGTCCTAAGTTGCAGGCCAGCCGACGGTGAATGACTGTATTTTCAATAATATCGACTGTCCTCTGGTCCAAAAGCGCTTCCTTGCGGAATACTAAGTGAGCCGTCCTCTGCCGAGCAAGTGCAGCCTGGGCATTCCGCGCGGCACCTTTTACCCTCCTCACCGCAAATATTTAACGCTGCTTCCCTGATTGACAAGCCGAGGGGAGACTGGAGTGGCGTGTTTGTGTCAGTGGCGGCAGCCATTTCGAGTGGATGCTTAAGAAGTCTGTTGTGGATAAACATAAGTTTACCCTCCAGGGTGATTAAAAAACGTAACGAGTGCTAGAGTGCTGCTGAGACCCTTCAGACAAAGGCGTTTGGGAAGTTTTCAAGAGCAAAGTAGTTAAAATGTGCTTCGTACTGCGCCAGTGTCATTTCCTGCGACGTCGTTTGAGGGCTCTCCATTTTAGCAGCTGCACACATAACAGCCTTCACACCACATCATATTTTTTGACACCGCTGGAAGCTGCTCAGTGAAAGTTAAAAAAGCGTGAGAAATCATTGGCATGGCTTAATTTGGAGCAGCAATTAGCATGAAATCCCTTACACTCTTTGGCGTGTCAGTGTGTGTCAGGCTGACTCACTGCTCTCTTTGGTTGCTCTGGGACACTGGGCTCTCAGTTTGTGCATGCTTTTGTGCGTGTGTGTAGCTGGGGCACCAGGCAGACCGGCCGCAGCCACAGAAATGATTAGCACATCTGTACAACACTCAACCTAGTCATGCCCCCTCTTTCTCTCTCTCTGGTGCGCCATTGGGGGGATATCCTGTGTCCTTTTATTGGATTGTCAGTTTCACACTGCCTGACTGCGCTGATGGTAATGATAATAAAATTGAAATATCCAGGTACTTATCACTGTATTACCTTGCTATCAACACCCACCCGCACTCATTTTTTAGAGGTTATCCGAGGGGAGAGATTCGATACAGAGACGAGGCCCTGATGAGTGTGCGAGTGGAAAAAAAGAGGGGGCTTTTGATATTGGTAAATTTTCAAGGTGCTATTTTCCCAGCTAGGCCGAGTGAGAAGATGGAACGTAATGCGATTCTTGGGCTTCTCGCCAGCATCAAGCGGTGTAGTGTAACCCATTTTCAACAGACAGGAAACGGCACACATTCCCCTGCCATGTATGTGATAATGTAAAGCTCTTTTTACTGGGCCGCAGAGTGTGTGTGTGGAGATCGAGTTTTAAAATTGATTCGAATGAGTGTTCTCGACAGCTGATATCTGTAAAAATGCCCTGATAAATTCCCCAGGAGTTTCTTTGATGCAGTTTGATATTCTGTGTGGCATTTGAAATGGCCTCACCGTGACACAAGTCTAAAGGCCCATCTATTTGAATTACTCTGAATAAGAGGACCTGCTCTCCAGTTGCACAGATTAAATTCTGTTTTCCGTACACACGTGACATCTCACAACGTGCATTACCGTTTAAAAGTTTGCGGTTAGTATACATTTTTTTTAATGATTATAAAGGAAGATTCTTATGCTCACCAAGGCTGCATTTATTAAATCAAAAATATATATATTTTTTAAATGTTGTGAAATATTATTACAATTTAAAGTAACTGGTTTCTATTTTGCTGTATTTAAAAATGTAATTTATTCCTATGATGGCAAAGCTGAATTTTTTATCAGCCATTACTCCAGTTTTCAGTGTCACGTGATCCTTAAAAAATTATTTTAATATGCTGATTTGCTTCTCAACAAACATTTCTTGTTATTATTAATGCTGAAAATATTACTTAATATTTTTGTGTAAACCATGATACATTTTTCCCTGATTTTTTGAAATAATAGAAAGTTCAAAAGAACAGCATTTATTTGAAATAGAAATCTTTTGCGACATTATACATGACTTTGATGTCAGTTTTAATTAGATTAATGCATGCTTGCTGAATAAAACTATTCATTTATTTAAAAAAAAAATTATTGACCTCAAACTTTTGAACAGTAGTGTAGTTCACTTTTATGTCCTCAAATAACTAATATTCAAAATCAAAAAGTAATCTTCTTATACCCATTTTAACCCCTTTTCAATAATGGTCAATGATAAAAAGAAAGAATTTTAACGCTGTTAAACAGAGTAATTTTGATTTGTTTTGATTTGAGTGAGCAGTTTGAGCAGTACAATAATTTCTGAATTTCATGTATGTTAAATGTCCATTTAACTTGTAATAGATCACTTTCGGGTCACCCTCAAGGGATTGGCGATGACGGACAGACGCACACGCGCACAAATAGACACTAAAACGCTTCTCATTAAACCCACTCACACTTTTGCCAATCAGTGAATGTTATCCTCCAGGGCTTCTTCTCAGGCTGTTTGGCTGCAGCAGGGGTCAAAGGGTGAAGTGCGGCTAATTTATTCATTCATTCAAATTTCCTGTGCAGATGGCAGGCTGATATGATATCAGTATGAGAATCCCATCGGAGGCAGAGGACCAGGGTGTTCACACGAGCAGGGCCGCGCTCTTATCTGATCAGCGCACGGCTCTTATCTGCCTCAGACGCCGTTCTGCTCCGCAGACAGGGAGATGGAGTAAGAGGCTTATATGTGATCTGAACCTCAGATCTGCGGGGGGAAACTTTCTATTTCAGAAAGGGAAAAGTAGGCAAGAGTTTCGGAGTGTTTTTAAGTGGTTTAACTCCTCCTCTGTTCAACTTTCTTCAGGTGGAGGACCGTCGAGGATGAGCTGCCAGTGAGAGCGACCCACGATTCTGCCAGAAAGTCGACAGCGCAAAAGTTTGCACCACTCTGCCCATACCGTTTACCCCGTCTCTCTTCTCTCCACTCCTCCCCCATACCCCTCTGCTCTCGCCCCTAACCCCCACTCCGCCCAACCACAGCCCAGTCTCCAAAATGGACTTGCACCGGGCAGCTTTTAAAATGGAGAGCTCCTCCTACCTGCCCAACCCGTTAGCATCCCCGGCGCTAATGGTGCTAGCATCAACGGCGGAGGCCAGCCGCGATGCCTCCATCCCCTGCCAGCAGCCTCGCCCGTTCGGCGTGCCAGTTTCTGTGGAGAAGGACATTCACCTCCCCTTCAACAATGGTTCCTACACGTTTGCCTCCATGTACCACCGGCAGGGCGCTGTACCACCAGGCTTCCCAAACAGGGACTTCCCTCCTTCCCTCCTACACCTCCATCATCAGTTTGCCCCACCAAATCTGGACTGCTCCCCCATAAGCATGCTCAACCACAGCGGCGTTGGGGCCTTCCGGCCCTTCGCTTCTCCTCTGGAGGACCGTGATGGAGTGGGAGGTGGATACCAGTCCGCCTTCACCCCAGCCAAGCGGCTAAAGGGCTGCCTGGAGGCTGAGGCCTCTCCGCACCTGCGCTACTCGGACGCAGAAGGGAAAGAGTATGACTTTGGCGGTGCTCAGATCCCCTCCAGCTCGCCTAGTGCTCTCAAAGCCGTGGAAGATGCAGGGAAGAAGATCTTCGCAGTGTCAGGCCTGCTGTCAGACCGAGAAACCTCGTCCAGTCCGGAGGATCGCATTGAACGCTGTGAGTACACTCTTTTTTTTTTTCAAATGAAGTGCACTATTACTGTCCACTAACTGTGTTACATCTGTACAAATAACTAAAATACTTAAGAGTCTACTACTACTTTTAGATCACAAAATTGATTTTTTGTGGAGCCACACTAACACACATTTGTTTGAGAAATTTTGTTTTGTTTCACATATTGATTATTTTGCTGTCTCTTTTTATGTAAACATATAATAGGTTAGACTTATAGTTAATTAAACTAAAATAATCTAAAGTGATTTTAGAAAAACATTTAAAATAATGAACTGATTAAAAAACAATTGAAGATAACCAATAAAGATAACCATTTAAATTAATCCAAAGAGCAATGAATATATATACAGTATATATATATATATATATATACACACACACACACACACAATATATATATGAGTGTGTGTAACAGTGCTTAACTTATACATTTCTTGTCGTGATATGTTATCCCTATAATGTAGAAAGTGTGTCCCGCTTCACAAGTCAAACTGCTGGGGAATGTTTAGAGAGTGTGCCCTACCGGTCTTACAGAGCAGATAAATTCCACAGATAAAACTCATAAATGAAATGGAGGTTTCTCTTGGGCGAGAGTGTGTGTGAATGAGTGTGTATGTGTGCGTTTGGGAGGTGAGGAAATGTGTGCACAGATTCATAAGACCTCTGCTGAATGGAAGCCCAGTGGCATTACTGTAGTAATCTAACCTGACCACTCTTACTCAAATACATTAGAAGTCCCAGTGAAAACATAGGTACACACACAGAGTTCTACAATCTCTTTCTTATCCGCTTTCATTCTCAAGATATTTACTAGTGAAAAGAAGTAATTGTTTTTCTAAATTAATCTGATTTGAGAAGAATATTTGTTATGTTATGAGACACACATTAATGAAATTAATTTTAAAATTATTATTAAAATTATTTAACAATAATTAATAAACACACAAATAAGTGTTTTTTTTTTTTAGTAAATTCAGAGATTGTAAATGCAGTTGCAGGTCTTGCTAGGTGCCAACTATTTTTATTTTATTTTATTATTTTTTGTTTTGTTTTGTTTGTATTTGTTCTCTGTTTTCTGGTAACTCTTTTCTATAAAGTTCCATGTTTTCTAATACTTAACTACATTAGTTGACTTGAACTAAAAATGAACAATTCTTCAACAGCATTTATTAGTATTACTTGATGTGACATTAACTAATACATGTTTTAAATCAAAAGCTGAATTAACATTAGTTAAGGCACTATGAACTAATTGTATTTTTATTAACTAACATTAACAAAGATGAATAAATGCTGTAAAATAATATAATGCTCCATTAACTTATGTTATATATTAAATGGGACCTTTTTTCCTGTTCATTTTATCTGGCTTTCTTGTCTATTTATTGGTTTATGCCTCTGTCTGCAGATCTTTCTTTTTTAATTCCTCTCTCTCTCAGAAGCACTGTCCGTTATAGCATTTGTCCTCATTTTTTTGTGTGCACTCTCACTCAAATCCTAAATTTTTTAGATTTTTTACAAATTTCAAATTCTTTCCCTCCCATTCACTCTTTTTGGGAGAGCTATAGTAGTGCAACAGGGAGGCCCAACAGCAGGGTAAAGAGCGAGAGAGGGATACAGAAAGAGAGGAAGAGATGGAAGCACCCTTGATCGAACAGATGAGAGACAAGGGCAGCGAGCTGAGACTGATCCGATAAAAACAGCAGCATGCAGGCTGGGAGGAGCGTGAATGACAACAAACAAGAAACGAGAGAGGAAAGCAGGAGTGTGAGGGAGGAAGAGAGACAGACTAGAGGAAACTGTGTCCAGTATCTCGTCTAGAATTTCTCCTCTGAGGGGGTCTCGTTTGAGAGCGCTCTCTAAGACATCCACCGTAGCGCTTTTGAACCGGCAGCAGCACAGGAAGCAACGATACAGTGCCGGTCCGTTCGGCTAGAGGGATTATAACACCTTCACCCTCGACTCAGATTAAGCGCAGATAGCGGCTCTCGAGGGCCAATCCAGGTATAATCCAAGTCCCTCAATGGACTGTAATCTGACATTCATACTATCAGATAAGAGCAGCAGCTTCTCTTGCTGAAATGAGAGGGGATTAGGGTGGTGGAAGGGATAGGAAAGCCTCAGCCTTCTCTCTGTGAAGAAAAACCATGTTGTTTTTTACAAATACAATGATTTGGAGAGTGGGAGACAGTTTTGCCTTTTCACTCTCTGCCTCTCTCCTTCTCCTCCTCTCTTTTGAAGCTGAATCTAATTAGATTAAACTTTAGGCCCACCAAGGGCTCTAATGCAATTTAATTTCCAGCAGTGTTGTAGAAGAGACTTAAATTGGGTTCCCCTTGACTGGCGTGCTACTGGCTGTCACTTCAGGAGCCCTGTCCTCTCTGGCATTAAGCCCCAAATCTGCACTGTACTGCAGCCGGTGTGATTCTTAGCCTCTATGCTAGTGAGCGGGAAACCTCGGCAAGATACAGTCCTATCATGACAATTCCTGCAGATAGAGTTCCTCAAGAGTTACAACATGTCACATCTAGAGCTTCACAGCATGACATTTTCATTATTTTTGAATGGAAAGGAGAACAACATGTGAATGGAATGTGTCCAAAAACTATTTTTAACCATATTTCTCACTAATTTACACTTGAAAGTACTGCATAGTATTGCAGTGATTGTTTTACATATTGCCAGTGCCTCTATACATACACAAATAAAATCTGGTTACGTTGTTTTTTGTATATATCATTTTTAATATAAAATGTTAAATAAATAAAAAATCTGAACAACAAAAATGGCAATTTCATTTATATATTAGTGCTGTCAAACGATTAATCGCATCCAAAATAAAAGTTTTTGTTTACGTAGTATATGTATGTGTACTGTGTATATTTATTATGGATATATAAATACACACACATACAGTATATATTTTGAAAATATTGACATGTATATACATTTATATATTTATATTCTTATATTTTATATTATATCAAAATATATTTAATATATAAACAACATATTTTTCTTAAATATATACACAGGCATGTGTTTGTATTTATATATACATAATAAATATACACAGTATACACACATATATTATGTAAACAAAAACTTTTACTTTGGATGCGATTAATTGCGATTAATCGTTTGACAGCACTAATAAATATTCATGTATTTCAATTACATTTGAAATGACTATATTGTATTTGCATGATTGTTTTACATATACTATTGCCAAAGCAGCTATATTTATACACAAAAATATTTTCCCCTGTGACCCTGTTTTGTGTGTATATATAGAATGTGTTACATGATTTTTTTTTTTAATTTAATTTTCCTTACATTTTTCAATTATATCAAATATAATATATGAAAAAAATGATTATAGTCCAATGGGTCCTATGATCTAATATTAATTGGATCTTTATTATTATAATTCATTATTATGAATGACTAACTGTATTAATTTGGCAGAAATTAGTCACTATGGAATTTTGTCTCTAGCATTTGATTTGTGTGTGTGTTCATTTCCCAGTGTGAATGTGTTACATCTGGAGCATGTTTGTTTGCCTTCTCCCTGCACACATTAGCACGGCAGAGCCGAGCAGTGAACCTGACCCAGGACAGCTATCCCAGCTTCACATCCAGAGGGAAAATGTGTGAGCCACAGAAAAAATAAGACATGAGACGTAGTCTTAGAAGGAGAGAAGGCAAGGAATGAGGGAGAGCGAGATGAAAGAAAGAAAAAAAATTATAAAAGGCAGGGGATGAGCAATCAGCAGTGCCATGAGCTGAAACGCAGACTGCAGCTGCCTTCCTGAGCAGCTGAAATAAAAGGGAAAAAATCCTTAAGACAACAGAGCGCAGCCACACGGGCTTCCTTCCTGACGTGACCAGCCCGTGAGCCATGTGGGCCTGTCTCCATAAATCCCCGCTGATTTATGGGGAACCGGGTGGCTGGCAGCTCCGTGCTTAACCCCCACCACCCCAGCAGCGAGACGGTCTTATAGCAGGGCCGCCGACCGCCCGTCCTTCCCCGTGGAGCTTCCACACACTTGTTCTGAACTTCAAATGATTTCAGCTCGGGTCGATATATAGCACAGATTATAGCACACATCAACACATGTTAAAAGATTCTCCCGTGTCCTCCCGAACGCGTCAGAGCATCAGTCACGAGGATATATTGTTACAGTGGCAAACCTGGCAGGGACTCGTCCTCTAATTTACACGGCTCCTGAGCAGTTGCGCCGAGATTTTTAGCAAGCATGGTTATTTTTGCATTGTGTCTCCCTGTCGCTCTCTGGCTTTGTAGTTGCCAGTCAGCCACTGGGTTTGAGCCTTTAATTATTTGCCGGTGCTCTTTCTCTGTCTCTTTTTCATTCTCCTGCTCTCTCTTTCTCCTCACTCCCTACTCAGTCTGCGTGATTGATTCTTGTTTTCATGTTTTTCGATTGGGCTGCACAGATCTGTCAGAGTGTATAGTTATTCCGCCGTCTTTTCCCTTTCAAAAGCTCTGAAGAGCAGTGTGCACTGACAGCTGTTAAAACACAGTTGTTGTTTTTTTTTACCTCTTTTTTTGTCAGAGCAGATGTCAGTGGCATGTTTGTGTGTGTTTTTCTTTTAGATGTATTGAAAACTTTGGGAAACAGTTGCAGCAGAAGTGGCAAATGCACCAGGATACATCATAATAATGGAAATCTGTTATTACCGAACAATGAAAAATGGTTGGAGTTGGAGAGAAACGTTTTTAGGCTTCTTCTTTTCTCAAGCCGGCAGTATTGTCGCTCGTCTCCGGCAGGTGAAGAGTTAAGGAGATCAACATTGTCATCCCAGGGAAAAAAGAACCCTACTTCTGTCTCTCCCTCCCTCCCTTATCTGTCCTCCTGCTCTGGTTCCTGCTCCCTCCCTCTCTCTGTCACGGTCTAGTGGCGAGGTTAATTTAAGTAAGAGTGTTCTAATAATTAGGCTGCAGAGCAGCCACTCGTCTG